TGTCTGTCTGTTTGTCTCTCTCTCTCTAACTGTTGATATGAAAACACACCTAGTTACTATCTCAATGCCAATATCTCATTCAAGTTTATTATCGCAGCTGAAATGACGCAATTAAATGCAGTTCTCGCATCTCACTTACAAAGGTCTCTTGGTCTCTTGCAGTTGGGGTCAAGGTACTAAGAACCTGGATATTAAGTCTGTTTTATTCTACCGTGGATGTACTGTGAGATGAGGACATCAAACCCTTTATCGTTTTATGCGTTTTAACTTATGTGGATAAAGAGAGGGTCACATGAAGATTATATACCTCGATTTATTTCATCTGGTGATTAAAAACAACCCTTGCGTTACCTGGAGGGATAATGTTAGGTTAGCCTTAGAATGTTTAATCATCATGTGAAATAAGCTGGGGTGTCTAATGTTTATGTGATTAGAAAAAACTACCCATTGTTAAATAAAAAAAAATAACAGCAGTGTTGGGTCTGTTGCAGCTGGTAAGTGACTGGCCAAATGAGCTCCAGCTTTCATAAGCCATAACCATAGTCATAAGTACCGAGCAATAAGGAGACATAAACCTACTAGAACTGAGGCGTCATAAGACTGGAATCTAAAAGAACTAAGACCTTATTAGGACTAGAATGTATGAGGACCAGAGCCGTCGCCAGGCATTTTTATGTCCTGAGCAAGTTTAACAAACGGTGCTCTCCTCCTTTTTTCCTTGGTTTGAAAGAAATATAAATTATATGTGTTTTTTCTTTATTTACAAACAATTACTGGAGTACTTACCTCAATTTTAATATCTACTCGGTAAATAAACGTGAACAAGTGAGAACAAACTTTAGTTTCTTATAATTTCATTTCTCTTAAAATGTTTCAAAAGCAAGTGTTCAAGATAAATACGACTAGACCAATAAATGGCCAATGACGCAAACATATTTCACTTTTTTTTTCGGTGTCTTACCTTTATTTTCAAACATACTTATTGATTTTGATCAGTTTTGACAATATATGAATACAAAACACCACTCATGTTGCTTATACACCCATATTCTTTGTATTCACTTCTGTTAAACTTTCAAGCACAAATTGTTAAAACGAATATGACAATGCCCAGCCTAAGCTGATGACTCTGAAATAATTATGAAGTGTTTTATTCTTATTAGATTTTTGTTTAATTAATAAATAAATTCAATGGCAATAGTTAACGAAATGCAACATAAAAGATCTGTATTAAGCCACACTGCCCATACCTGTCAAAATGCAAACCTCACACACCAACATTCAAAAGACACGAGAGTGAGTCTGAGACAGTGCAAGTCGGCGAGATTCTTGTTCACAGAAATAGTCGTCACGAATTAACATCCAGATTGGTCTTGAATATATTAATTAGAAAAACAAATAGTTATATAAACAGATAAAATAATAAGTATTACTTTTTAATGGCATATCATAAAAATTTAACTATCACATGATTGAAAATATTTATCCAAGAAGCAGCCTGCTAAAATTTCAGTCACATGTTTGAGACATGAAGAAGACCCGCGAGTGCTCCCCCTAACCAGCTGCCCCTCCCGCCCTACCCTAACTATGGCACTGATGAGGACTATGATTTATAAGGAGTGACACGTATTGGGATTAAAGACTGTTTGGACTGGTACCTATTGGGACTGTTGTATATTAGAACTCGAGACAATCTGATCAGCATCTGCTACACAGACGGTCATACATCAAGATGCTGAACCACTGCATGTCAAGGCAATGTGAGGCTGTGTCTGTGATAATAAATCCTTTTATGCATCAGGAGATCAAAATAGTTTCCGAGTGTATCTGTAGGAGCAAGAGTAACGTTGTTGTTTTTCTCTGTTTAAAAGGCCTGATATCATGCAGAGCTTGATAGAGTTGCCTGTCTAGATGTTGTTTTGAATTGTGAAAAATCAATTTTCTTTAAGAACTCTCTTATCTAATGACAGATTAGATATGAAATATGAAAATTAGAACAGTTGATTACTTAAATTGCGTTTTTTTAACCACTAATCCTTAAAGTATGTTGGACGAAGTTAAAACAAAGAAGATTAGACTAAACTAGACTAGAGTACTGTAGTGAAGATGAGTGAGGAGGTGTGTGTTGAGGGAGGACTAAACTATTCACTGTATAGTCTGATAACATTGTTTCCTTAAAATTGCTAGAATGTATGAACCATGGGACTGGTGAACCTAAATGGATCCAAACTATAGCTACACATATGAAAATGTTTGGACTGGACCATCTGTACAAAGTTGAGACACAACAGCACTTTCTTCCACCCTGGCGGACAACTGTCGATGTCACAATATCGACAAATCCGCCTACAAGATTAATTATGCAAAGTATTTATCTCCAACACTGCCGAAGTGAGAGCTCTTGAACACATACACACCCTACAGACTGATGATAATATCACACAGACCATCTACACTGATGGATCTCTTAACACTGCCTGTAGGAGGGCTGGACGTGCTATCGTTGTGACTCATCCAAACGGTAATACACTTGAGAAAGGAGTTAGAATTAACAACTGGCTATCCACTTTACAAACTGAATTAGTTGCCATACTCACAGCTATTAAATTTATTGAAACCACTGTAAAAAAACATGACAGAGTTGATGTCCTCGCCAAACTAGCTTCTAATAAAGACACTGTTGAATACAATCTGGGTCTTTCAAAAACAACCCTTAAAACTGTAATTAGGAAAGAACTCATTGATGAATTTGACGCAAGCAGACAAGTACAAACAAGTATTAGTCAATCCATAGTTTACCATGATGAGCTGTATCAAGTGTAACCAGTGGGGTTCCCCAGGGGTCAGTACTAGGCCCACTCTTGTTCATAATCTACATAACGATCTAGATACTGGGATCAGCAGTGACAAAAGCAAGTTTGCGGATGACACCAAAATAGGGCGGCAGATTAATTCAGGGCAGGATGCAAATGCACTAGAGGAGGATCTAAATAAACTGCAGGGGTGGTCTGAAAAATGGCAAATGAAATTCAACACAAGCAAGTGCAGCGTACTTAATATTGGAAGAACAAATACTTATAATGTATACAGCCTTAACAACATCAACCTAGAGAAGTCGACTTGTGAAAGAGACCTAGGGGTACTTGTAAGCCCGGACCTACGGCCAAGAAAACAGTGCGTTAATGTTCGAAATAAGGCAAACAGACCATTGGGTTTTATATCTAGAAGTGTAAGTAATAAGAGTGCAGAGTGTCTTATTGCAACTATCTCTTGCGCTAGTCAGGCCGCACCTTGATTATGCGGTTAAGTTCTGGTGCCCTTATAATAGAATGGATATCAATTCACTAGAGTCGGTGCAGCGAAGAATGACAAAAATGATTCCGGGACTTAGAAACCTTCCATATCAGGATAGGTTAAAGAAACTAAACTTGCATTCCCTAGAAAGACGAAGAGTGCGGGGAGATATGATAGAAGCACTTAAGTGGGTGAAAGGAATCAATAAAGGGGATATAGATAAAGTTCTTATAATATCCGAGCAGGATAGGACTCGGAGCAATGGATTTAAGTTGGATAAGTTTAGGTTTAGGAGGGAGATAGAAGGAACTGGTTCACAAATAGGGTAGTGGACGCGTGGAACAAGCTTAGCAACTTTGTAGTAAGTGCTGGAACGCTGGAAGGTTTCAAAAGGAGGCTGGATAGATTTATGGATGATAGAGAGTGGTAGTAACTCTCGACAGGAGCTGCCATGCACAGGCCAACCGGCCTATTGCAGACTCCTTATTTTCTTATGTTCTTATGTTCTTAAGTAACAAGATTACTAGATACAAGATCTTGTAACCGCTAGACTGAGGTTAGGAAAATACCTCTGGCAGTATGTCCCTCAAGCAGATGTGAGCAAAACTAAATGTAAAGAGCGTGGCCAGACATATGGCCACACGCTCGAACACTACCTCCACGACTGTGTGAAGATAGAACCTTTTCGGGACAGGTCCAAGCACACTGTGTGTGAAATGGCACAACACTTTATCTCTAATGGCAAGATAGCCAGCATATTAATATTGTATTCACTTTTTTTGCACTCAGTTGCTACGGTATATCAAATCCCATGTATAGAACCAAACACACAATGTCCTTGAATACTTCTCACGCAAATGTGAATAACAAAGTGTGTGGCGAGACATATTGCCTCACACTCCTGTACTCACGCAGTTGCGAATAAGTTACCCTCTATGGGTAACTTTTACACACACACACACTCACACACACACGTATACATGCACGCTACATCCATATACACCCACTAAAAAGTATTCGGCACCCTTACGGCGTGATACAATATGACACGGGTGCCGAATAATTTTTGTGGGTGTAAAATAAAATAGCCGCCGTAAGTGGCAAAATTAAATTATAATAAACAAGACCAGCTTACCGTATACAGTAAAGTATACTCCTCGATGTTTTCCGTTTCTATATACTGCATATATCATTAATAAATTTCCTTCATAAAACTTAAGTTTCTTTCTAAAATCGGGTTGACGCTATAACGGATCTCCAAAAAACATCAGTATTACACTATGATAATATTTCATACACACTAATTTAGCATATATTTTTTATAATTTAGCTTGTGTACAAATATTTGCTCGATTATTTTTAAGCTAGAGATGTGATAGGTTAATCGGAACCCAATCAAATCAACTTAATCCATTACGATTCGGGTTTAAGTCTAATGAGGCATACTCTTAATGGGGCATACACTTGGAAGTGACTAGTCAAGTGGTCATAGTTGTCATGTTATGTTACGACAGTCAGCCAAAACCCCGGCCGTCATCATCACAGATAATTATCTCGTCGTGGTATACTGAATTTACGGGTTATGGCTTCTGGTGAAAGTTAGCAGAGTGATGTCGCGTGAAGCACCACCTCCCGTCCCACCGAGGACGTGTGTGATGGCACCTATATATATATCCGTATACACATTCACGAGTCTGAGTAACACACACACACTCACACAGAGAACAACCAGCCCAGAGCAAATCTTCCATCATGGTGAGGACTTGACGGAAAGTTCAATATTATTGTTTTTCAAGACTTATTTAACTATTACTTATACCTTAGCATTGTTTTCTTTTCTGTACATTGTGTAAGGATTCTGAATTAAATATTAATACAATGTGGTTATACAAGGGCCCGGATGTTCATTACTCAATACAGGAGTTTAATGATCTGTTTCTCAGCTGCAGATAAAGGTGTATTGATCATCTATAACTCGTTTCAGAGGTTTGCTTTATTCTTTATGGTGGTGGCCCTGTTGGTCATCGCCAGCCAGGCTGACCCAGGCAGGTCACGGGGCTCCCATCGTCGTGGCGGAGGGAGGTCACGGAGTCGTGGTGGTGGCGGCGGCTACGGCAGTGTGGGAGGTGGTGGACGACGCGGGAAATCAAGAGGAGGTAGTAGACGCGGAGGCTCCAAAGGTGGTGGATACGGGGGCGGCGGGGGCGGCGGCAGAGGTGGTGGCAGCGGAGGATACGGTAGCAGCGGTGGTGGCGGTGGCGGACACAAAGGAGGTGGTGGCGGCGGAGGATATGGTAGCAGCGGTGGTGGCGGTTTCGGACGCAAAGGAGGTGGTGGCGGCAGAGGCGGAGGTGGACATGGCCGGGGCTCTTCAAAGGGTGGCGGAGGCGGTGGCGGAGGCTATGGGAAGTAGTGTGAAGGAGGTTGAAATACTGTGCAAAAGTTTACAATTCCAGTATTGTGTCTACTTATAAAATAACTTATAAATCAACTTTGTCTTATAAAAACAATCCAATCCTGATAGCTGATACATACTAACAGGACGATATACAAAAAACAAATCACAAGTCACATTAATATAATTTTGTTGTACTGTACTCCTTCCTATGCCATTAATACACACTGATGCATTAGTCACAACAGATAATAGAACACAACAGGTAAAACTGTACACGGAGAGGTTGTTATCATAGTCGTTGTATGTTAATTAATAAAATGAAGTAAAGTTATGTACCAAATTATTATTTATCTTCGATGAATATTTATGACGTTTGTTTTGGGTTATGGATGGCGATGCCGAAGGGTTTTCTCAATCTATCTATCTATCTGTCTGTTAGCATTTTTCTTAACACAGAATACGAGACCAATGAATTAGCCAAGTGATTAAAAGGATTAAACTTCCTGAGTGCGAAAATTTAACGATGTCACTGGGTTAGATAAGGTTTGTTTGGTGTTATTTTTAGTTTTTTATCCCACATATTTCCTTCTACTTCAAAGCGCAGCCTACTTTGAACAACCAATATTGAGGATAATCTTATCGGTTAAAATACTCAAAGAATATAAATTTCCGACGAAAACGCTATAGATTAAATTATTTATAGTTTTCTCTTTCAACTTATTTTAGACTCAATATACAAGAAAGGGGGATCGGTGGTAGAAGCGAGATGTCACGGGTTCAATTCCCGAGCCGGTGGAAGTTGTTTGGACTTACTTCCTAGCCCCCATTAGTCCCTGTTCACCTACCAGTAAAGTAGGTACCTGTTGTAAGTCGAAAGTTGCGAATTCGTATTCAGGGACAAGTTGTTGGAGCTTCCAATAACTTGATGACATAAGCCACTGACTCTTCAGGCTTCTACGCCCTTGACTCTTCAGGCTTCTACGCCCTTAACTCATGAAACATAAAGAACAAAAGAACATAAGAAAATAAGGAGTCTGCAATAGGCCGGCTGGCCTGTGCATGGCAGCTCCTGTCGAGAGTTACTACCACTCTCTATCATCCATGAATCTATCTAGCCTCCTTTTGAAACTTTCCAGAGTTCCCGCACTTACTACAAAGTTGCTAAGCTTGTTCCACTCGTCCACCACCCTATATGTAAACCAGTTTCTTCCTATCTCCCTCCTAAACCTAAACTTATCCAACTTGAATCCATTGCTCCGAGTCCTATCCTGCTCGGATATTATAAGAACTTTATCTATATCCCCTTTATTGATTCCTTTCACCCACTTAAATACTTCTATCATATCTCCCTGCACTCTTCGTCTTTCTAGGGAATGCAAGTTAAGTTTCTTTAACCTATCCTGATATGGAAGGTTTCTAAGTCCCGGAATCATTTTTGTCATTCTTCGCTGCACCGACTCTAGTGAATTTATATCCATTCTATAATAGGGGCACCAGAACCGAACCGCATAATCGAGGTGCGGCCTGACTAGCGCAAGATATAGTTGCAATAAGACACTCTGCACTCTTATTACTTACACTTCTAGATATAAAACCCAATGGTCTGTTTGCCTTATTTCGAACATTAACGCACTGTTTTCTTGGCCGTAGGTCCGGGCTTACAAGTACCCCTAGGTCTCTTTCACAATTCGACTTCTCTAGGTTGATGTTGTCAAGGCTGTATACATTGACAGTATTTGTTCTTCCAATATTAAGTACGCTGCACTTGCTGGTGTTGAATTTCATTTGCCATTTTTCAGACCACCCCTGCAGTTTATTTAGATCCTCCTCTAACACATTTGCATCCTGCCCTGAATTAATTTGCCGCCCTATTTTGGTGTCATCCGCAAACTTGCTTCTGTCACTGCTGATCCCTGTATCTAGATCGTTTATGTAGATTATGAACAAGAGTGGGCCTAGTACTGACCCCTGGGGAACCCCACTGGTTACACGGCCCCACTCAGATTTAACACCATATACGCTGACCCTCTGCGTTCTAGCGGTGAGCCATGATTTTATCCAATTTAAAGCTTTCCCCTCGATACCATGAGCCTTAATTTTTCTCAGAAGCCTCTGATACGGTACTCTGTCAAATGCTTTGCTAAAGTCTAAGTAAATAACATCGTAATTTTCGTCATTATCTACTACCTCGAAGACTTTCCTAAAAAACGTAAGCAGATTTGTTAGACAAGATTTTCCCTTTGTAAACCCATGTTGAGAGTCGTAGATTAATTTGCTTTTCTCTAGATGCGATCGGATGCTATCTGCTATAATTGATTCAAGAAATTTCCCCACTACTGACGTCAAACTGATCGGCCGGTAATTTGACGCTGATGCTGTCTCCCTTTTTGAATATGGGTACTACATTTGCCTGTTTCCACAAGTCTGGCACAACTCCAGTGTCTAATGATTTTGTAAATAAGTTTACTAGGGGTCCGCTAATCTGTTCCCTACACTCTTTCAAGACTCGAGGGAAAATTTCATCCTGCCCTGGGGATTTTATTTTCTTCAGTTTATTCTTCTTCTTAAGAACATTCTCTTTTCTGATAGTGATGTTCTTTAATTTCTCTTCTTCCTTTCCCTGAAATATCAGTTCCACCTCTGGAATTTCATTGCAAATTTCTTCTGTGAAACCTGATAAGAAGTAGCTGTTCAATGCTTTGCTTATTTCCTCACTGCCATTTATCACTTCCCCCCTTCCTGACTTTAAAGGCAAGCATGAACATAGCATGCTTCCCTGTTGGGCGCTGTAAACACTTCTGCGCTTCACCTTACACAAGGATGTAGGGAGGTGCCCAATAAAAAAAAAAAATATATATATATATACAAGTAGGTGTTGCCAACTTCTAAATATTAACCTGTGACTGTACTAAGTCATCGTAACTAACGTAACCTACATTGGCCAGAGGTACTATTTTTTGTTTTGTTTTTAGTTTATGTAAAGTATTATGTTTGACAGTCCAAGTTAAGAAATAGTTGAAATTTTTTAAGTGAACATCCAAATGACACTTGGCGGAAGCTACAATATGGAATAAGAGATTTTTTACCATGTGTACACTACATGGGGTTAAATATCATTACAATAGCGTCTCCAGTCATGAGAAATATTTATTTTACATTAGTCATAAAAAACGCAGATATGTATGTGTGACTGAAGTATTCTGGGACGCCACCTATATTGTACATAACAGTTGTAGTGTAAAGTGTTGTTTGTCCTGGTGTATGTTGGAGTCATTGTTAACTTTCTTCCAATTATACATAGCCTAATGAGGTGAGAGACAAGAGTTATTGCATCCATCTCTCTATGTTTAGCTCTCTCTCTCTGTCTACTTGTATGTCTAGGTCATTTTTGTATGTTTGTGCTCTATTTACGAATATCCCGTAAATGTCCTTCCTGTACTACCCCAGACTAACAGTAGCACATCATTTAATCCATTCACCCATTATGTACTGACCACAGTCATACATGTTAGTTAACGTCAAATCAACGATTCATATTACGCTCAATAGCCCATAATACATGTAGCTATGACTTAAGGCCAGGCCAAGGTGCAAATATTACAAGGGAAATTACAATGGGATGAGGGAAGAGATGAGGGGTATCAACTGGCCTGACTCATTAAAGTACAAGAACACAGACACTACGCTGAATATCATAACTAGTAAAGTGACCCATTTGATCGATAAATATATACCAAAGACCAAACCCAGTGCTTCTAGGAATACGAGGGGATCCCTACGCGTGAACCATGCGGCGGTCGACAAAATTAAGAAGAAACCCAGAAATTCAAGACGTGAGTTGGGTCAAACGATGAGCAAGACAGGAGGATGCATGCAAGAGCCAGAAACCAAGCAAAGATAGAGTGTAGAAGGGTTGTAAAGGAGTTCCAGAGGCTGGTTGCAGGCGAGGTCAAGTCAAACCCAAAGGCGTTTTACCGCTATGCAAAATCGAAATTGAAAACGCGAGTAGGAGTATCAGAACTGAGGCAGATTCTGACCAGGAAAAAGCTGAGGCATTGAACAGCTTCTTTTCCTCGGTGTTCTCAAAAGAGTATGTAACTAACCTTCCTGCGTTTGAGGACAGACGGTTCGACACAGCACTGACCCACATTGTGTTCACAGAAGAGGGTATTAGAAATAAACTATCCAGGCTAAAGGTCCATAAGAGTCCCGGACCTGACATGGTGCATCCTAGAGTGCTAAGAGAGTTGTGCAACGAGCTTGCAGAGCCCTTGAAGATCCTGTTTTGTAAATGCCTGGATGAACAAATGGTCCCCAGTGAATGGAAATTGGCTTATGTGAGTCCTATCTTCAAGAAGGGCGATCGTCACTCCACGAACAACTATAGACCGGTGAGCCTGACCAGCATAATATGTAAGGTACTTGAGAGTATTATCAGAGAGGCCGCAGTGGAACATCAAATACGAAACAACCTTGTAAAGGATTGCCAACACGGTTTTATGCCAGAGCGCTCCTGCTTAACACAATTGCTCAAGGTATTGGATATTTGGACCCATATTCTGGAACGGGGTGGTAATATCGACAATATTCACCAAGGCTTTCGACAGTGTACCCCACGAAAGGCTGAAAATCAAACTGGAAGGGTACGGAATTCGGGGAAATGTACTAGCGTGGATAGAAGACTTTGTACATGACCGCAAGCAGTGTGTGGTGATTAATGGCACGAAATCGTCATCTGTACCTGTCACAAGTGGGGTATCACAGGGCAGTGTATAGGGCCCGCTGTTGTTTGTTTGTTTCATAAATGACATGCCTGACTTTGTACACTCCTCCATACAAATGTTTGCCGATGACGCCAAGTTATTTCGGGAAATTAAGAACCAAGCGGATTGTGAAGAGCTGCAGAAGGACCTCTGTGGGCTCCAGAAATAGTCGAAGAAATGGCTGCTGAGATTCAATGTCACGAAGTGTAAGAGGATGCACCTGGGGCGTACCAACGGTAAGGAGGCGTATCATATGTCCCAACGGGATGAAGAAACTGCACTAGTTGAGACTGTATGTGAGAAGGACCTAGGTGTGTATGTTGACAATGTGCTGAAGTTCTCGGGCCATTGCGAGAAGGTATATCAGGCAAATAAATTATTGGATCTTATAAGAGTGTCGTTCAGATATCTAGACGGTCCGTCCCTCGTAACGATCTTCAGGAGTGAAGTGCTTCCCCATCTAGAGTACTGTCACCCCATCTGGTTCCCGAGATATGGTAGGGACTGTCAGTTGGTTGAAAATGTTCAAAGGAGGGCCACCAGACCGGTGCCTGCATTTCGGCACCTC